CATCATCAAATACAAAATATTTAATTTCTTAGGTACACACTTGTTTTTTAGCTGATATATAAATAATTTGTAATGTTTTATTATATATTTGCTTTTCATTCATGGAGCTAATCTATATTTACCTCATTTGTAACTTTCATATCCCTATCTTAAATTCTGATGGAGGATTAAGAAAGAAACCATGTTGTTATTAAAAAATTCCAAAAATCATTGCTGCTATTGGTCATTTGCCTGAATATAGGCAAAGTGAATAATGTCCTTTTTTAAAAAATGCCTAGAGCAGTTAAATGTCATTAGAAACCAGTGGGCTTGTCTTTCTAGGCCTCAGAGCGGGATTTGAGGATATGCAAAAGAAGGGAGGAAATTCAAACAAGCAAGCAAATAGCAAAATTCCAATCTGAGACAAAGGGTAATGCCATCTTCACAAAGTAATGTAAATCCCATGTTTTTGCAAAATGTTAGTCCATTAAAATTTATGTATATAGTCTTAATCATAAATGAATGTACAGCTCTTAAGCCATAGATTAACTTAATTTCATGTCATCAAAAATATGATTTGCTTAATAGTACTTGCCTGGTTCAAAGTGTTTTTTTACTACATATATAAGGAATATATTTCTTCTTATCAATCTTCTCTATTATTAATAAAAACATTAATTTGTGGCTCTCTATATAATTGAACACACAACTCTGATTTCCCAATATTTAAATGTATCTGAAACAAAATTGGGTCTAATTGTACTATCCCTGCCAGGTATGCTAAAGAGATTACAGTGTTAAAAAAATGACCATTTTATAGCAAGGGAAAATATTTTCATAACAACTATTAAAACTTGAGTCATTCTCAATACTTATCTAAACAATGCAATGCATTACGGTCAAGTGGCTAATATTTCTAATACAAAATAATTATATTATCCATGATGGAGACAGTGTGGGAGTCATCTTTGAAGATGACATCTAATGATTCTTATCTCCTGATATTTATGTCCCTGTGTTGCTCCTCTACATTGATTAGGATCACCCTGTGTAATCAATCAAGTATTGCAGAAATGACAGAGCATGGCATCTGAGACTTGGTCACAAAAAATACCTTCAGCTTCTACCTCGCTTTTTCTTGGATCACTAGTTTTGGGGCAAGTCAACTGCCATATCACTTTGACAGCCCAGCAGTCCTATGAAGACGTCCACATAGGGGTTAACTGAGACTCTGTCAATAACTAGCACTAACCTGCCAGGCATGTTGGAAGTGAGCTATCTTGGAAGCAGTTCCTCCAGCCCTCCTCAAGCTTCAGATGCTGATGAGAGATCCGGAGCCATAAACATACAGCTTAGCTGACCCTGATTTCCTAACCCCAAAAACTGATTGAGATAATAAACGATCACTATTTTAAGCTGCTAAATTTTGGGCTAACTTGTTACTTGTCAATAGATAACTAACAATGCCAATATAAACAGGGAAAAAGAACATGGACTAAGAGGTTGACAAATCTAAAATGTATCTTGATGGCAACATAAAGTTGACAGACTCCAAAGGACATCTCAGTTTTGCCTTTAGTAAATTGAAAATAATAAATTGTACCTCACAGAGATTTGAGGACTAAAAAAGTTAAAAGTATTTAAAGGGCCTTGAAAAATGATTTGTCTTCAGTAAGTATTTGCTTTTTTTTAATGTTCTTTAAATTGTGCTAAATTTCACAAGACTTTCTTTTAAAGGTTATCAAGTGGATTATTTCCGGCACGTAGAAATGGATTCCATAGAATGCAGAATGCTATGCAGAGAAAAGACTAGGGGTGGTCAGGTCCTGTCTCTGTTTTCGTTTGTGCTTATTTGTTTATATTTATTTTATTGAAGATCTGACTTTGAACATTTAAGAGAGGTGACTTTTTATAACTATCCCCTTAAGTAGAAATAAAAACAGTGTGTAAGTTATTTCTGAATATAGTTGTAAGCTCCAAGTATAAAAGATCTCTAGGAAATGGAACTTCTCCAGATGTTGGGGAAACTCCCCTTGACTCTGACAGGGTCTCTGACAGCTTCGTGCTCTAGCCAGACACCTGGAGGTCAAGAAAACAACTCAGAAACATGCTCTATCTGTTGCTTCTCTGTGTGCCTACTTTGATTCCACTATTTTTGTGTCTTTGACTAAATAAATGGGGAAATTATAGCTGGGTGTTTTTATGTGTCATATTTCCTTTTGCTAATTCATAATTGACTTGCAATGCCTTTACGTTTGGCTTTTAATGTTGACATTTCAATTGATTTTTGGTAGACTCTGAGGGGCCATAACTTAAACTAAGTGCCATAGTGTAGGGGTTAAACTCATGGACTCTGCAAGAAGAACTGCAAAACTTTTTGGGTTCAAATCCAAGCTCTGTCACTAACTGTATCAACCTGTGCAATTTACTCTGAAAACACTCTGTTCTTTTATCTCTCCCAAACAAGTAGAAGAAAATGATGATATCTATCTTACAGGTTCATTATAAAAATAAGCTGGTTAATATTTATTAAAAATTTGGAACACTGCTTGTCAAATAGCAGTTGCTTGTGAGTTTTTCATTTTGATGAGGTAAATATTTGAATGGCCTGGGCTTTGAAACTACCATGTAGATCCAATTAGTGAGTGTAACAACAACTGCTCAGCAACAAGCATATTTCTTTCTCCTATTTCCTGCATATATTTAAGTGTGCTTTACTATAATATTGAGAGGAATCTGTATATTCTAATTATGTTTGAGAATTTGAATATTTCCTCAACTCCAATCCTAACAAAGATAAATGTATACTTTTCTCTGAAATGAAAATATGTTTGCTATTTACATATGCATTTTATTTCATAGCTCCTAGACTTTCTCTAGTTGTACAAGTGTGTTGGGGAGTGACACTGATTGGGGAATATTCATCTATCTTTGATAGGAGTGGTTTTATATTTCTTTGAAAATCCAATAGCTATAGTCCATCTCCTCAGTAGGAAAAAATGTCACTGAAGTTGACTATGAGCATCAATTGGCATTTTGCTATAATTGCTATAGGCCAAAAAAATGGACTAGGGATTATTACAGCCATTTTTTTTAAAGGTGCTGTATTTAGGAAAGGGAGAGAAAGAGAAAACAAGAGAGAGAGAACAAAAAACACCCCCAAAACAAATGAACAATCAAAAACTTCAGGACATCACCTCACAAAATATTGGAAGCAAAGTGGACTTTAACAAATGAGCTCTCATTTGCACTACTGGGAATAATTATTTGTTAGCTTTTAAGAAAAATGACACAAGATCAAAAATGACTTTAGTTTGTCATTATTTAAACTGTGTTTTTTTATTTTTAATTGATTATTTTTTTTGTGGAAATTCAGGGGTGGGGCTGGGGGGTGTGGGGGGACTGCAAGGATGTCCCATGAAAGGGAGGTTTCCGAACAAGTGGAATTAAGGTTCTATTCATCCACCCCATATCTACCAGAGAAGTATTGCTTTTATACTGTAGCTATTACTTTTTGAGCTTCTAAACAAGATTGTATTTGAATAAAGGAGTTCTTAACTTTCAAAGTATTGAGAACCACTTTTCTAGATGATTGTCCATAAAGATAATCACAAATAGAAGTTATCTCGCCCTGACAGGTTGCTCAGTGGTTAGAGCATCCACCTGCAAACCCAGCGGTCGAGGGTTTGATTCCTGGTCATGGGCACATACCTCGGTTGCAGGTTCCTCAGCCCCGGTAGGGAGTGCATGTGGGAGGCTCTCTCACGTTGATATTTCCCTCTATTTCTCTCTTCCCTCCTCCTCCCACCCTTCCACTCTCTCGAGAAATCAATGGAAAAATATCCTCCAGTGAGGATTAAAAAAAAAGAAGAAACAACTATGCTAAAGAAAAAAACAAAATCAAACAAAAACAAACAAATTGAAGACATCTCAACTGGGTAACCAGTTGAACCTGAGAAGGTTGTATTAGGGGATACATAATCTTATAGGCTGCAACAAGGGTGACCCAGAGAGGTTTGTCTTATTCTAAGTAAATAAAAACATGGGGGCTTCCATGAAGCCACAGAAAGGTAGATTTAAAATTAGTAAAAGATTAATTACTTAGTTAAAAGAATTAAAAAGGGAATATCTCAAATGGTAGAAGAGAGTCTATGCAAAATAGCTGCAAATTTTTTTTAAGTAAAACTACAGTCATGGTTGAACCTAACATCCCTCCCTGGTTTTAAAGTGATATATATATATATATATATATAGTATGGCTACTACCCTTCCCTCTACATCCCATCTTCAAGTTAATCCACAGGGGTCCCGCTCTTCTTTGATAGCTAAGACCAGCTAAAGAGGTTTGGATGAGCTTACTGGTTGAAAATAAAGAGAAAGTAGTGGAGTCCTGACTTCTCTTGTTCAAACACTCTTGCCAAGGCCTTCTGAGGTTTCTCAAGGGGACAATGGTACAGAGCTGAAGTTAGAGGAGCCTTAAAATCACATTGGATAGTCCTTTAACCATGTACTTTACTTCCTCTACAGCCCCTTTAGTGACAGAATATCTAAAACACAGTGAGCTATAAAACAAAGTGTTAGAATGTCTTGAGGGAGAGCAAGGCAGGTGAGAGGGTTGTCTTATCAAGGAAGCTGGGCAGAGACAGAGGCTCCCATGGCTTTTGGAGTGCTCTCATGGAGCCTGTGCCCAAGTCCTTTAAGTGCTGGTTTACTTCCCAATTAAATGTGGTTGCCAGCAAGAGCAATGGTGTGCTGGTTCAGAAGGGAGAAGCACAAATAAAAGAATCAGCGATGAGGGATTTGCAGGCATCTCTCAGATCATATAAACCAAAGTGGACATTTCTTCAGGATGCTATTAGCTACTCTTCTTTCCCACGTGGGACCCTTCAGTTTGCTTGCCTGCAAGGAGGCTGTTGAGAATCATTCAAGCCAGTTAAAGAAATTGCTTAAAGTAAGTATCTGAAACACAAACACATTAGCTCAAAGTGCTTGGAACACAGTAACAATCACAAAGTCCTTACTTCTTTTCTCCTTTGTACCATTCGAAGGCTGGAGGCGGCACACCTGCACCTTCGCATCTTATCAATCCACTGCGTCCGGGGGCCACGGTACCGGATTTAATTTCCTGGATGGTAGGAGCAACTGAAAAAGAAACACACACAAATAAACCGGTGGGTAAGTAAAAATAATCTTTAGCAGAAATATAACACACATATATTTCCATTCCTTCTATATTCAAAGCAATCTTACGCCTGATAGGCCAATGCATCACATTTTCAGGGTGTTATGCTTCTAATACAAGACTTTCAGCTTCATTTTTCAAGTTGGACAATAGACGAATGTTCCCAGAGAGTGTAGAGTAAATGCAATACATTTTGGCCTTGCTTCCTATTGGAAAACGGCATTGGTGAGGGGCACACTTCATCTACACTCCAGTCAAACTATACTCCAATAATAGCTCTCAGATATTGAGTGATCGCTCGAAGCCAGGCACTGGACTAGGTGATTTTTGTTCATGATTTCCTCCCAGCAATACCCTAAGCTAGAGGCATTATCCCTTTTTTACAAATATAAAAATTGAAACTCAGAGAGGGTAAATAATTTGTCTAAGGTCACACAAGAATTTGGACTTGAAGTCAGGCATGTTGACTCAGAACCTAAGCTCTTTCAATATTCTATGCTTTTCCCTGTCTGCTCCCCATGTATTAGCTCCTTAGCGGTTTCTTCTACCTGGAATGTTGTTCTTCCTCATTTCCACAGATTCAAGTGCTAATTTAGGTGTCACCATCTCCAAACTCTTTCCTATTGCTCTGGCGACAAACAGTTTTCCTGTCTCTAAGAAGTGTTTATAAATTTCCCATCCCAAACTATTTCTATGTTGTATTGCATTTATTTATCAGTAGCTCAGGATTCCTTGTTAGTTTCCTGAAGGCAGGGTAAGTATGTGATCAATTTGCATATTCAGATATCAGAGCACAATGCTTGGCACAAAATGATGCTTGAAAAGGTTTTCGGTAGAATAGTCATTCCTTCATTTATTAAATAGTTATTGAGCCATCAACTGTCAGGTATTTCCCAAGGCACAAAGCAGTTAAACTTCCTGACAGGATGAAGCTTATACTCTAGGGGGATGGAGAGACAGAGTATAAGCAGTAAGTATCATAAATAATTAATTTAAATGAAATGTTAGAATCTGATAAAACATATGGTAAAACATAGAGCAAAGTAAGAGACATTAGGGCAAAGAATGGATTGCAATTTTATGTAGGGTAATTTGATTAGGACTCATTGAGAAGGTAAGATTTAAGCAACACACATAGTCTTCCAGGAAGAGGGAGCAGCTTGCAATAAAGGTCTGAGGCTCCAGCAAGCTGATTTGTTTGAAAAAAATATCAGGGGATCTGTGTGGCTGAGGCAAAGAGAAGAGAGAGAGAAGATGGAATGGGATGGGTAATTTTGTGTCATCTGGACTGGGTCCAGATATTTGCTAAAAATTACTTCTTGGTGTGTCCATGAAATATTAGCATTTGAATCAGTGGACTCAGTAAAGCATATTGCCCTCTCCAATGTGTGTTTGCATCATATAATCCACTGAGGGACTAAAGAGAAAAAAAGGCACAGGGAGAACTCACCTCTTCTCTGCCCAACTGCTGAGCTAAGATAGTCTCTGAGTAGTTATTAAACCATTGGCTTCTCTGGGTTTCAGACTTTCAGACCAAGACTGAACTACACCACTGGTTTTTCTGGGTCTCCAACTTATAGACAACATATTGTGGAACTTCTCAGCCTGTATAATCACTGAGTCAATCCTTATAACATAATCACTATATATATGTGATTATATATGTGGCCCAGTGCATGAAATTCATGCACATTAAAAGGGAATTATTTAGAGGAAATGTTTTAATATTGCTATTTTCCCTTTCTCTATAATAGAAGTGTCAGAGATGAAAGAAAATTAGTAAGGTGTATATGAAAATCTCCCTCCTGTCAGAGTCTGGGGCATGCTGCAGGACCCAGAGTCAAGTCCCTGCCCACCTGCATGCTCCTCAAAATCACGCGAGATCCAGACCAAGTCGGCCCCACCCCCGTCTAGCCCCACAGGGAGGGTGGCTTGGCCTCAGGTCCCCCAACCCCAGCACAAGGGCGCAAGGATGCGAGGGCGTGAGGGTGTGACAATCATTTGCATGTTAGCTCTTTATTATGTAGGACATATTTATATAAATACTAGAAGCCTGGTGCACAAATTCATGCACGAGTAGGGTCCCTTAGCCTGCCCAGTGATCAAGGCCTATCAGGGGGCTGGCCCAGGGGGAGGGACCTCAGAAGGTTGGCTGACTGGGGGAAGGGTTCCCACTCCCGATTGGGGTGAGGGGTCCAATTGGGGGTGGGGCTATCCAGGGGGAGGGGCCACAGGCAGTTAGGGGTGGCCTATTGGGCCCAGATCGGGCCGGTTGGCTACCACAGTGCACGACATAGCAACTGCTCATTCTGGTCATTCTGATCGGTCCACCATTAGGTCATTGGGCTTTTATTTTTTATTTTTTTAAATATATTTCTTTATTGATTTCAGAGAGGAAGGGAGAGGGAGAGATAGAAACACCAATGATGAGAGAGAATCATTGATCGACTGCCTCCTGCACACCCCCCACTGGGGATTGAGCCTGCAACCCAGGCATATGCCCTTGGCTGGAATTGAACCCGGGAACCCTCAGTCTGCAGGCTGATGCTCTATCCACTGAGCCAAGCCGGCCAGAGGGCTTTTATATATATAGATATTTGTGTGTGTGTGTGTGTGTGTGTGTGTGTACACACATATACATACATATATACATAGGTGTTTGTATATACAGTTGACCTTGAACAACACAGTTTTGAACTGCATGGGTCTATGTATATGCAGATTTTTTCCAATAAATTCATCAGAACATTTTTTTGGAGATTTTCTTAGTACTCTGAGGCAAACAGATCAATTACACTTGGCTAGCATAAGGCAATCATATTGCTGCTTCTTTATTACCAATGCATGAATGCCTATATATAAATACCAATTTCTTTTTCACATTATCTTTTCATTGCTGATGTCTACGAAGCTCTTTATTTCACCTTCAATGTTAAATGGTAGCCTTTCTGGGTAATCTTAGTTGTAGCTCCTTGCTTTTCTTTTTGAATATTTCATGTCAATTACTTCTGGCCTGAAATGTTTCTGTTGGGAAATCAGCTGACAGGCTCATGAGAGCTCCCTTGCAGGTAACTGTCTTTTTCTTAATGCGCTTAAGATTCTCTCTTTATCTTTAACCTTTCCCATTTTAATTATGATGTTTCTTAGTATGGGCCTCTTTGGGTTCATCTTGATTGGGACTCTGCTTCTTGGACTTGTGAGTCTCTTTTCTTCACTAGGTTAGGAAAGTATTTAGCCATTATTTCTTCATACAGGTTCTTGATCATTTGATCTCCCTCTTCTTCTGGTACCTCTAGGATGTGGATGTTGCTATGCTTGATGGTGTCCCAGAGGTCCCTTAGACTTTCATTTTTTAACATTTTTTTGATGTTGTTGGTGTGTTTGGGTGTTTTCTGTTATCTTGTCCTCTAAATTACTGACTTGATTCTCTGCTTCTTCTAACTTGCTGTTGATTCTTTCTAGTGTAGTCTTCATTTTAGATATTGTGTTCTTCATTTATAACTGTTTCTTTTTTATTGTTTCTATGTCCTTTTATATTTTTTCTATCTTCTTGTTTAAACACTCACCGAGAATTTCCATTGTTTTCCTAAGGTCTTTGAGCATTCTTATAGCCATTGTTTTTTATTCTGTATCTGGTGTCTTGGTTGCTTCCATTCCATTTAGTTCTTTTTTTTTTAAAAAAATATATTTTATTGATTTTTTACAGAGAGGAAGGGAGAGGGATAGAGAGTTAGAAACATCGATGAGAGAGAAACATCGATCAGCTGCCTCCTGCACACCTTCCACTGGGGATGTGCTCGCAACCAAGGTACATGCCCTTGACTGGAATCGAACCTGGGACCTTGAGTCCGCAGGCTGACGCTCTATCCACTGAGCCAAACCAGTCAGGGCCATTTAGTTCTTTTTTATGGGGATTTCTCTTCTTCTTTTATTTGGGGCATATTTTTTGACTCCCCATTTTGTCTGACTTGTGTTTATTATTGTGTATTAGGTAGATCTGTGATGACTCCCAAACTTGTTATGGTGGTTTTATGTTGTAGGTGTCTTGTGGGGCTCAGTGGCTCAGTCATCCAGATCACCTGAGCTAGGTGCTCCAGGAATGTCTCTTATGTGGTTTATGTGCACCCAGCCTGTTATCGTTGAGTCCTAAATGATATGGGTGGGTTTAACCCTCAGGCTGACTGACTGTAAGGATAAACCTTGATCATAGTGGAGGAGCTGTCATGTGGGGGCTGTGCCCTGAAGGGAAGTTGTTTTAACAGGGTCTGTTGCCTGCCAAGATCTCTCTTTGGGTGTGCCACTTTTGTGGTTAGTTGGGTCAGGCTCTGGTCTGCTCTAAAGCCCTCCACTCATTGTGTTGGTTCTGAATCCACTTGGATAGGGTTCCAGTGCATGTTTATATTGGGTGCTTCCTGTAATCAGCCTAGAAATACCTGCCTGGAACTACCACACAATTCACTGTTTGTGGCTGCATCTATTGGGTCAGAGTTTGTGTAGGAGAGGCCAAGCCGTATACAGGGGTCAGCTTCCTCCAGCTCTGAGCTGAGGGTAGGTCAGTAAAAGTTCCAAGGCACTGTGAGCTCTACTTCATCCTCTTGGACACTCCCTATGCATTAGCTCTCCAATGATTTTTTTAATGTGATTTTTTTTTCTACCTGAAATGCTGTTCCTCATTCCCATACCCTGAGGTTGCCTGGTCTTTCTCAAGAACTTTCCATAGAAAGACTGCACAGTGGGCCCAAGCTGGCTTCAAGCCACCGACCCTTACACAAGGCCCAAGCTCCAGAAGGCAGAATATCCGAGGGTCAAGAGAATGGGGCTAGTGGGTCTCTGCTTGCGGGCAGTGTGGAAGGATGGAAGTGCAGACAGGACCTTGAGAGTCATTTTAAAGACTTAACTTTTCCTCTGAGTGAAATGGTGAACCTCTACAGAGGAAGGACATAATGTGACATTTGTTTTA